AAAAGTAGCACTTCCTTAAAATGATCAAAAAGTTTTCAGTTGAATTACATTTCGCAATCTCCAGAGAAGTTAATAATATACAATTGTCAACATGTATCATTATAAACAAGTGCTACTGAATATTACTACTCTCTAAGTGACAAGATGGGGGAAAACAAACAAATAACGCTAAAGATGAACCCGTAACTCACAATGCTCAGGAAACTTCACAGCTCCTTCCGGCTTTCCCATGCCAGCTACAGCATTTCTGGCCAGATGCAATGCATGTGCATCGTTTTGAGCATAATAATCAGTGACGCCAGATTCAGAGCAATGCAAATCAGCTCCTCCCAGCTCTTCAGCCGAAATCTTAATGCAACAATTCCAAAACTTTTTATAGTCTCATTAGCAAGTTTACAAAATTTAGAAAGCAATATACCTCTTCGCCAGTTGCTGCCTTTACCAGGGGAGGCCCACCAAGAAACACAGTTCCATTTCCCTTGACAATGATGGCTTGATCTGACATAGCTGGCACATAGGCCCCACCAGCAGTACAGCTTCCCATGACAACGGCTAGTTGAGGAATGCCTTGAGAGCTAAGGGTCGCCTAAAAAGCAATAAATAACCATGAATTTGAGATGTAAATGTAATTAGAGGTATACCTGATTGTAAAAAATTCGTCCAAAATGTTCCCTATCGGCAAAGATATCAGCTTGTCGAGGTAGATTTGCGCCACCAGAATCGACAAGGTAGATACATGGCAAGCCATTTTCCCTAGAAAGCGCACAATCCATCATCTTTATAAATGCGAAATCTCAAAAACAAAAGAAAACAAAGTTTGAGTAGAACCTTTGAAACTGATGAGTCTGCAAAATCATTAATAGCATTTTTCTAGAGCAATCGGTTACACCAAAGTGATAAATTCGGCTCACTTTGACAACTTCACAGCACAGAGAGGATAATACGAGAGGAAACCTTTTTGTTACTGGTCATCTTCAGCTATAGTTTTTTTTTCCCATCGACCACTTCCTCAGTTTTCAGAACTTCTTTGCAAATGTTCTATTGACATAAATTATGTCACTTAAATTAACTGATAAGATGTGACTTATCTTTCTCTACTGTGGAAGAAAGAAATCACATTTTACTACTGAACTTTGCAAAGCAACATTACCTCCGCTATACTCGAAAAATTACAAG